TCCTTGCTCTAGTTTCAGGAAATCTTCTTCCATTTGTCGTACAGTTGTCTTAGGGCAAGACTGTTCTTTAAATCGATTCATAAATTCTATCTAGGATAATGTTTGTAAAACATTCGTCCTGGCCAATGATTCAACTTCCCACCAAAACAGAGCATTTGACTTTAATACTGAGACAGCGAATCGAACTTTATCTGTTTTCGGACACCGAATGGTGTTGAACACATATTCCATCTCTTTGATCCAACACATAGCTTTCACTGGATCTCTTTCTCCAGAAAATGWTGGTGGCTTRCATGCCAAAAACATTTTAATATCCCCCTCCTTGTTGTGAGTAACTGGCATCGAGGGATGAACTTCTATTCTTTTTGTCTCTACCCTGGCTGGAATTCCCATAATAGAAGTCAAAGTTTCCCGCAACTTCCCCATTTCTTCAGCCAACATGTCCCTGGTTACATATTCAGGGTGTGGCACTGATCTTTCCTGWMCATTCCCAKAGTGGGATTCTTCATGTTCAGAATGTACTTCAGTCCGACCCCTTCCTTGAGACTGACTTCTACCTCTACCTCGTCCCCTTGTTCTTCCCCGTCCTCTATTTCCGGACGTGCTAGTTGGAAGATTAACAGGTGACTCTTCCCTTTCTTCAAACTCTGGACGAGCCGTTCTTTCAGATCTTCTAGTTCGGCTAGACATCTGCAGAGTTTAGTATTAATAATCACGTATTCACATTCCCAAATATAATGAAGTTTTTAAGTTCAGATGTGTACCTATAAATTCATAATTACACTGGTCAGATGTAATTAAAATTTACCTTACACACTGTTCTTTCAACCCATCATAGTTATTTCCAATGGAGCTAACTATGTCTGAAACCCTTAACATGCAATATAATAGTTTAAGTCTAGGTATCATGCTGTTAAATACCTAAATCCCTTAAACTCAGGCTCTGATACCACTTTCTGTAACGCCCAAACCACAAATTTCATGTAACACATTTTTCATACAAAAGAAATACATGATATTATCCCATTCAGGTCCCTTAGTACA